CGATTCAAAAGTTGTACTATATGAAATTAGTCGATATCTTTGGTACTTAAAGCCAACTTCAAGTTGGTACAATTTTCACAAAGGCAATCTAGTGGTAGAACTTGTATTCTAAATTTTTGTTAATTACCCTATATATCGTACTAACTAAAATTAATTACTCCATTTCATTTCCATCACAGACTCGACTTCAGTTCGTCCAATAGTTCTTAAATAAGCCGTTACACGCAGTGGCCATAAGACGCCCGGACTCATTTCCGTCGAACGTAAATTTATTTTTAGACCATCGTTCATGCGAGTTTCAATGAAAACGGCAGGACACCGATATCACTGGTTCGAAGATTTTCGTTCGTCTAATTACAGAATTACGACGTCTGACTATTTATAAAACTGCCGTATGAATCGATAACGATTACAGGGAATCATGGGTAACGCGTAAAACGTACTTCGTCAGGCAGTAATAATACCCGTGTTATTGTATAAATACGTCGCGATAAAAAGAAAAAAAAATCGTTTATAGTCCATTGAGAAAATTTCCAAGTAATGAGTCACGTAATTTTTTTTTATTATCTAAATCTATCGAATTATGAAACGAAAGTATTCACACGTGACTTCTTTTAAGCACATATGCCACTCGGGTATAAAGCGATATGGCTGCTCTTGTTGCTCTCTATTTTCCTATCTCAGTGCATACGGTATATACTTAAGACTAAGTAATTCCACTTGACTAGGTAAAGGCGAGTTTCTATCACCGCGGGGCGTCCTGGCTAAAAATTTTGATGAACGACAGGTCGATGTCCGCATATATATATATTTATACGTAGAAAAAAAATGTGTAGATTTCTATCGGTTACGTGTGTCACGAGACTGTAAGATCGCTACAATTATTTCCTAAGGTTTATTTGATAATTGCAATTTAATTGGTTTCTAGGTATAATTTTTGGTATACGGTATACCGTGTCCCAATTATTATTGAATTAAAGTGACATAAATAATTTATTAAATGATAATATATAATTGTGATTCTAGAAAGGTAATATCTGAGTCAAGCTTCATTATAGAATAACATTGCAGAGTATTATTATATATATATATTTATTAATATTTATATTAATATATTTTTAATGTGACGTCATTGAGTGTTGAATATATCTAAAACTTAGGACACTGTAAGAAAAAAAAATTCTTGACTGCTACAACTTTTTTTTTTTTTTTAGTATCTTCAAGGAAAAATTCAGTCAGTACGAAATACCTTTAAAAGTCACGAAGCATGCGAGTATTACCTACCTACGCACAATTTCGAATTGAAATCGCTCATTAAGGTTACTGAAATACAGAGGTCTTAATAAATAGCGGTACCTCCTATCCAATTAATCGGTTGAACGTCGAGATATCTAAGAAATGACTTTGTAACGTATATAATCATGCAAAACGAAAAGATTAACGAGTGTAACGAGCCGCGATAAAATGAATGTGATATTATAAGAAAAATAATAGAAAAAAAAATGGGACAGATATTATAATAAAAAAAAGAGCAAATCAGTCTTATCGGGTCTACAGTCGTTCCACAAGCAAAGTAGCTCAAAGTGACATACGGAAAAATACGAAGTAAAATTGGCAATTGCCAATAATATTTCGCCAAAATTAATTCGTGAAAAAATAATGGCAATTAATAAAATCCTATTGATTACCATTGTCAAAATATCGATAGCAATGTCGAAAATTTTACTACGGAATTCCCCAGCACGAAGCACGTGTCATCTGTCACTTTGAGCTATTTGACACGTGGGACGATAATAAGATATGATATCTCGAATGACAGCCGACTTTTCAAAATTGAATACCTTGTCGATTTTTTGTAAATAAAAATATTTTGAATTTATAAAAAAGTCCCCTCCCCAAAAAATCTTTACTCCACGTCAATCGAATTACATGCCGGGCATTTACCAATCGTCAGTTCGCGTCAATGGTATATCGTAATCCCGATTAACCGTGGGAATTGCGCAAAATGAATTTCCACCGGGCGCCTATCTAGGCCCGATTGCATGGCGCGGGCATTTATTAAAAGAAAATAAGGTAATCCACGTAATGGACCAGACAAGGCAATACTGAAAGCGTTTGAGGAGGCGTAATCGTGCCATTTTCGTAATTGCATTATTACGAAGACGAGTTGTGCAAGTTGCCCGGGGATACTCGTTACGTTACCAACCGAGACAAACACGTGTAGAAAGATGTACGTAAAAGTGGCACGAGCTTCGATTCCCGCGACGCGACAAAACCATAAATTGTCGTGACAATAATTTTTTTTTGCAAAAAAAATAAGATCCGCCTAAAGAGTGTAACCGATCAGCATAGTGCATCGTTAGAAATCAGACAGTTTATAAATGGTAAAAAAAAAAACGAAAGAAAATCAATAAAACAAACTCCTCAACGTATTACATATAGTCCCTATTAACTACTGTGACATAACTTGTTGTTCGCCAATGCCGGTCATTCGAAGACGAGAGATCGCGATATATAAGCGTTTAGCGTGCTGCGCCGCTGTGCGCAACACGGGACCAAGGCAGAACGACTCATTTAACACAATCTCTGATTACATAAACCGTGCTCCGATTCTCGGGCTCTAGAAATACGTCGGCTTACGGGCACGCGAAGTCGCGGAGGCGTAAAGCGACGCACGTACTCATCTAGTAGGCAAAGCCTACTAGATCGGACCCAGAGTCAGTCAGGTCGAGCGTCTAGCGAATCGTACGACGCTCGGGAGCCGTTGTTATATAAACATAATCCAAAGCAGTCTGCGACTACTCGTGATCAAGGAATGCTGATCCTGATAACGAGGGATCACCTGCTAAATCACTGAAGATCGTAATCCAGTAGTAGCCACCTTAAGAAAAAATTACCCTGAACCTGGACTCACGACTCGAACTGTATCAACTTCGAACCTAGTACCGAAAAGTCCCTACAGGTGGCTACGGAGATGAGCACGTGGCACCCCGACTAAATGCAGTATCCGTAATCCCACGAGGAATCGGCGAGCCTTCTCCACGTGGCTCTATGTTGTATATCTCTACAAGTAGGGTTCGCTTATAATTTTTACGAGAGCGTGTAAAATTCGTCGAATTTTTTCTTATCGCCAATTTTTATCGCTATCGATTTCATATGTGGGAATAAAATCTTTCGATTCTTTCCTTATAATGGGAAATGAGAATTGTTTTCGGTTATTTCATATTCCTCGCTTTTTATTGACACACGTGTTATCAACTTTTAATTGTGTAATACTCATTACTCAGCTCTCGTCTCGTTTGCTACCAACTTCATCTCCTCGATCCGCTGACACAATGTATCCTATACGCCAATTCACTCTCATTCATTATGTAAAGGTTCGTAGTGTTTACGGAGCACGTTTTATTTTTAGTCATGCCGCGATGGTTTATACGGCGACTACGATTTGTAAGCGTTGTCCAAGTCTATACTTTTCGTATGGGAAGGCCCAGTGGGATATATCAAATTTATTATTAAGGTAGAGAAAAATTTGGAATTTTTCGACCACCAACATCATTTTCAGAAATAGTGGTACTTTTTGTTAAAAAAATTTACACACGTATAAAACCTACACGTTGCGTAGAATCGTCAAATTAGTTCTCAGCCCCAAAAGGGATTCTGTGAGAAATCTGAAGATTGAGAAAAATTCCAATTAGGCTCCGTCAAAAAAAAATATCTATTATTTGCTTTGCCCGTATACGGTAAATTTACGAAATCCTAAAAAAAACACTAAATAATTTACGAGCTCGGGAAAAATGACGAATCCGAATGAAAATAATTGCGATTGGCTTCAAACATTTTGAGATAATTTTTTTTCTCCAATTTCTCAACTTTTCCTCCCGTCGATAAATGGTCCGTATGAATTTACGATCGTTGCGCGGCGGCCATATTAACTGGACCGTTGTTACACTCCGTTTATAGGTACAGAAATAAATGTTTATTATGACTCGGAGACCGAGACCTTTCGTCCTTCCTAAAGTGAAAAAAGGACTTACGCAACGCTTCTATTTCGACACATCACCCCATTTTTTCTTTCCTCGAAGTTTAGCTAAATTTTTCGTAACTTTTCACAGCATATACCCCGATCGACGTAACTTTTGAATAAAAAAAAACAATACACCTACAACCATTATCCGTTATATGGATTCTTCCTCGTGATAAATCCATATTGACTTTTTTTTCAGTACAGCCGTCAACGTGTTACGATCCTTTGTCTCAGCTCTGTTAAGTCTATACATTCAATCGATGAGTCATTGTTGATGGCCGAAACGTTACGGCTGCATAAAGAATATTTAAATTATGCAAGGAATAAAATTCCAACTATTCAATGCGTCGTCCTTCTCGCCACTGGGTGATACTTTAACGTGCTGTGTGTATATATACATATATATCGGTTTGGAGATGCCTGTAAGATTATCCATGTTGCTATACAGACCATCAAGTCGTAGACAGGTTTGTCGATAAAGAATATAATGCATAGAGTATGTACCGCATGCACCAAGTATCGGGCACATATTTATATGCGAATAGGCCCCATTATCCTGGCTAGGCAAGAAACTTTATCTTTAAGGAGTTGCTACGGCATTCGCTCGGGATTAACGAATTAATCGTGCGTTGAAAGTGCCTGCCAAACGCGACGATTCCACCGTGCGTAAATGCTTTATATAACACAAGATACGCTGTACTTTGGTGATTAACAATTTGTTTTGCGATTGGCAAAGGTGACTCTACCACACAAATAGCTTACATAACCTGCCCCTAGATAAATACATACGCAAACAAAGATGAAAGACGTGTGCATTACGAAATTTTCGTGAAATTCGGATGAGACGTTGGGGGGAAAGAAAAAAAAATTACGATAATTTGGAAATTTCCATTTTTTTTCAATACTTAAAAAAACACAAGGTGAAACAGGTGCGACATTTGAAACGTAACGTTGATTATGAACGAGTGTTGTTTCGGACCAATATTAAATATGCACCGACGCGCACCGCAGCGAACGAGCCTGATGTTTTTTGTCAGTCGCCAGAGCTCATGCGTAAAAGCATGGCGCCCGTCGCGAGGCTCGACTCGTGAAATAATTGATCCAATCGGAACTCGACGAGCTCCCGCCACGGCGCGACGCTCTGCCACGGGCTTTATGTAAGAGAGACGCTCGGGAACGCCAAGCGTCGACTGGGACTTTTCTACGACTCGAAAGCTTTGCCGACCCGGTACTTTTCGTGACGCCTTACCCGGGAAATACCATCCGGATATGTGGGTGACTGTGTAGAGTCAAATAACAAGGATTCCGTAGAAAGGAGAATACACGAAAAATGACAATATGTCTGCTCGACAACAAGTGTCCCGACCCTGTTAGTCGATCGAAAGCACAGAGACTAAAGATAAATGTAAATAACTTTGTGCGTATAAGACGTCGAATTCCTAGAGATAATCGAGGAGTACGTAAACAGTGATAAATAATTTTTTTTATAATATCAATTAAAAACAAAACTTCCTTTACCATTTTCTGACAAAGGAGAAAACAGAAAAATCGATATCCGGCATATATTCCAGGGGGAAAATGATAAAAAACGGCAAACAGTAAGAAGATTAATAACAAGGAACGAAGGAAAATAATAAAAAAATAAGTTGGGAAGAAAAAAGTTGAGAAAAATTTAAAAAAAGAAGCGTAAGGATGCGTACCGATAACGCACTATAAGATCTGGGCGGTTGACACTGATGACAACACTGATGCCGAAGCAGACGACGACATCGATGCGAACGCTGACGACAACGTGACGCCGACGCTTCGTCGTTTCAATGGTCGAAGTGGGGGGTGTGGTCGTATAAACGGTCCGGTAGAGAGCACGCTCGTAGCTTGTGGGAGCTGCCAGAGTGTGTAGTGGGACTCTGGTGTGCGCTAGGTTGGTACGCTTCTGGAGCGCTAAAGTCAGCGTCGATGTAGTGTCGGACTGCACGTTTTCTATTTCTCTTCCTCGCTCCGTATCCCTCTCTCCGTCGCTCTTTGATTTTCCTTACGTCAGACTCTTTCTCTCCCTCTGTCTCTCTCGCTCGCTCGTTGAACTGGAAATCGCCTCAGAGAGAGGGACCCCGCTCTGGCACTGACACCGCGCCACTACTGACACTTGCCAAGCGGTGACAGCCGAGACGCCAGTCGTCGCTGTGCCGCGGTCGCTGTTGCGTCGTACCCTGCATGTCTTGTGCCAAGGCTGCTCTCTCCGAACGCCGCGTGGTCGACCAACTGTCAAATTCAAAACGTAACAGGCGCGCGCTCGGTGAAACCTCCAACTAGGACTAAACACGTTGATCGTATCCCGTGAGCCTGTTGCTGATTTTATTATTTTCCTTTTTTCGCGTCCTGCATCCAACAGTGTCGAGTGTTTACGATTGTTCTACACGGAATAGGACTAGTTCTCGTTAATAAAAGAAAAACTTCGGTGCATCCGTGAAACGGCGAGAAAGAGGTTTAACGTGAATTTGGGTAAATAAAAATGTGCAGTGCCTTCAAGATCTTCGACTCGACAGGCAGCGGATTTTACCGCGAGGATTACGCGAGTGTTTAAGTTCTCGGGAAGGATTCGCGAAGTTCCTCCTGTGCCGTCCCGAAATGTGTGAAATGGCCAAGGAGGCCTTCGCCTCGCGAAACTATCGTTTAGCCGTTGAGATTTACGAGCGTTGCATGAAGCAGCAACCGCCAAGCTTCGAGATATTTTTTGGTTATGGTGACTCCCTGGCTCGATGCGGACGCTTGCGAGAAGCCCTCGACGTCTACGCGCAGTGCTTCGCTATAATAGCTGTGCCTCCGGAGAGGCTCCGGCATCTGGCCACTGCCCTTCTCGAGGACATAGGTGGTACCTCTCTACCGAGGAGAAGGACCGAAGCATCCTTTGTGTGCCCGTACTGCGAAGGGACCCTCTATCAGCCGGTGACAGCCAATTGCGGCCACACCTATTGTAGGAACTGCCTGGAGAGCTCAAAGTGCTGCCGTGCGTGTGGACTAAAGTTTGGCCCTTCAGGAGAGACGAATGTTCTCGTGCAACGATTGGTGGAAAAGTGGTGGCCGCGCGAAGCCGAAGCGAGCCGAGCGAGACACGAGGGAGACCTATTCATGAGGGAGGGTCACGTAGGTCAAGCCCTCGAGAGATACAACCTCGCTGTGCGACTTGGTGAGTCACTGATTTTTCTACCTGGCTTTTTTTTTCTCTACCTTCTTGGTACTCTGGAGGTTAAGGTTAAGTCGCAAAGGAACGCTGAACTTGGTCCTTCCCGCCATTTTAAAAATCATAACCTACCTGCTTCCTTTTCCTATGCCCTATCCCTATTCATTCTCTCGTACTCCAGGTCCACGTTGACATTCCCAGAGCATTGCTCCCTTCCAGTTGGTCCTCGTTCCTCCATTGCCACGATGCTGCTGCCACAATGGGTCTTTGTGCGCGCAAAATAACCAAAGGCTACTGCCGCGCCGACTTACAGCGACTTCGGACCGTCGCGCCACTCCGATGCTTTTAATCACCCTTTGCTGACTCTGGTTGACGACCTCGTTCCTACCGAGCAGATTTCTTTGTCTTGGCAACTTTCTCGAGCCTGTCGTCTACTCCTGCTCTTCTTCCTAATGATTCTGTTTCGTTGTCCTCTTACATCGTCACTCGATGGGTTCTAATGTCGTTTCGTAAAGCCGCGCTGACACTATAACTCAATGCAAAAACTTTTCAGGTTAGTGTTTCATGGTTCTCTTAGATAGTGCGTTAGGCTAAAAGGAATTCCCTCAATAATAATAATCTTGTAAAATTACTAAAAAATTATATATATACCAGATTGCCACTTGACGTGCAATCGTCAGGAACGACAATTAATTCTTAGTTTCTCGTTAATCTTCATTAGTCACTGTTATGGAGATGCAGTGTTAGGTCAGCATTCTCATTAATTGATATACATATCTGATAACCAGGTAATCAGTTGGTACTATTAATAAACTCGTTAGGAAGGACCGTTGCGTACAATTCATCTTTTATATTCTTCGCTTCCATTCTCATTTTTTATACCCACCTCGCTATCTATCTCTTTGTTTAACGCAGAAAGTGTCTCTGCTTATTTCAGGCTTTAACCGTACCACCAAAATTCCGCTACGCCATTATATTTTTTTATTCTTTTACGGGACAACGTCTCTCGCAGTAGGTTTTCTTCGAACGGCAGATTATTGCAACTCTATGAATGATAAGTTCATGGTCAACCCAAAGAGGTGCCTATAAATATAGCCAATGATGAGTAACAGATAAAGCGATCGCAGCGCCACAAGAATCTCTTAGTCAGTTTTATATCGTAACTAGTGGATTAGAAAATTAATTTAACAAATACAATAACCTTTGTCGAATGTTTCACCGAATTTTTTTGTTCATCTTACAATTAGCTTGTCCCACGTTAGGTACGACTCCTCGAACACAAAAGATAGTCACATAATAAGAGTATGAGTGGTGAAAACAATTAGTCATCGCACGATTACAATACCTCGTCATTGTTTTCGAAAGGTTGATAATCGATCGGGAATTTTTTATGCATTTTTCACGTATCGACTAAACGTCCATTTGAATTCCTGAAACAAAGGCCAAAGTAAATGATGCCTAATCGATATAAAATATCTTTCTAAAAATTAAAAAAAAATATAATAGGTACAGACGAGACTACAGAATAATTAAGAATGCTAAGTTCACAATTTTTGTATACGATTACGTAAACACTGTATCAGAAGCCGATAATTTATTTTATATTCGTAAGGTGCACGAAGCCATCGACGGGTAAGAGTATAGTAACTGTGAAAGAAGCTGTCGAAACAAAATAAAATTCTTGTACAGTGACAAATAAAATGTGACAATCTGTTCCAAGATTATAACTGCCAGGAACATGGTAAGTCTGGATTACGTTGTAGAGGGAGTCGATGATATAAAGGAGGAGGGACGGTATAAGCGGAACTGCGATAAGATAATACGAAAGTGAAGCCACGTGGTGTACCGGCTGTCATTCTGACATAACGAAAGAAAATTGTGAAAACGTGTATATCGCTTGTCAATCAATCTACGGGTTAATAAACCGGCCAAACTCCTACGAGAGCCAGCAGATTTTCACCTCGTATAAAAATATTCTGGAGATTTGGAGACAATAGGAAATATCTCGAGGCCCCGTAAAGGTCAAAGCAAACACGATAAAACGAAAGTCAGCCTTCGAAAACCGTAAAGACAGAACGTCAACCTACATCTGTACCTCAGCCTGCGTTGACCATCTGGCCTTTGAGCCAATTACGGCAACGTCGGTCGCCTTGCTCGACTCTTGCATTTATCACCAAATGCGGCTACGTGACACAGAAGTTCCCAGCGAGCCGAACCCACGTAGAAACGTATAGAGGTAAACGGGGAGAGTGATAAAAAGGAAATGGTATTTTTCGATCGATTGCCACATCGATAGGACGAATGATTGCGTAACCGTGGGTTAAAAGTTCGTAGCTGCCGTAACGGCGGGACATTTGAATTTCATCCTGAATCACCTTTTCCAACCGTTCATCCTTATCGAGCCTTGTCCAACAACGTATCTTCCCAGCCTGTACCCACGTGTCGCAGATTCGATTAGCATAATGGACCACACAATGATCCAAGAGGGATTCGACGCGATACAGACTTTAACCAACTGGAGACTCGGAGTAACACGAAAGTAGCGACTAATGGCGATCTATGAATACCACCGCGTGTTACAAGTTGCTTCCAAGTATTCTCGAGTCGTAGCCTCGCACAAGGCGGATATATAATTAACCGCGTCCCGAGGCGACCGCGCGACAGTTGCATACGTGCATCGAGCAACGTGTTCGCGCGATGACAGAAGCCGAAAATCGGTGAACACGTGTCTCCAGCCGTCTTCGAAGGTGACACGTCCCTATCTCCTTCCTTACGTAACTCCGTCAATATCTTTTGTCACGGCTTATTCGATCTTTGTAAATTTTCTTTTTCTTTTCCTCTATCTCCTTCATTTGAATTTTCACTCTTACGTCTTTTTCACGTCTGCCATCGCTCTCCATTAATCCATTCCGATGACTCCAATCTCCATCGCCTTTATCCGCGATCCGAACATGAGTATGCGCCTTGTTACCCGGCAGGATCAGGTTAGTGGGACTCTGGCACAGCCAACCAATCCTAGCCTAGATTCAACGTGATGGTCTAGCGGGACACCATGAGAGAAAGAGATACGGACGTACGGAGACGGAAGAAGGAATGCATGGACCACTGCCAAATCGTGCTATAAGGACTCCTGGATACCTTACGTGCTACTTCGTGATCGTTGGATCCTGTCGGTTGATCTTGGGATCGGTTGGGTCGTCGACGGGCGTGACGTGCTGCCGAGACCGGAAACGACGACCCGGGCCTGAGGGGACACTAGGTGAAGATCGATTCTGATATAGGCAAAGCGAGGACGTTGGTACGACTGGAAGCTCTCGGTGAAAAAGGAAAGGAGTGCCAAGGTCAACCTTGGGGTGTTTTCGAAATAGGAACAATCGGAGCAATAGGTCATGGCCGTGCGGCCCTAGGCAACGGGCGCGCAGCTACGTAAGCAGGCGACTAATGGAAAGAGAATTTTTTCGAAATATTTTTTTTGTCAAATTTGGTACTACTGCCATGGCTCATTTTGTTATTATTACTCTTGACTAATATCCGATTATTAACATAGACCCACTTACATCATCTGGACTTTTTTTTTAGTATTGCGTAAGACTATCGATGATTCGCTGTATCTGTATGGGTACTATACGTAATTCACGATTATTTGGAAACTTCAAGGACACGCAGGGTATCTTTTATTAGGTTTCACGAATCCGTATACCACGGAGGAGCCATCGAATTTCTAATACGATCCATTATGGACACGGTGTATAAATTTTGCCCGGTCTAGAACCGCTGGATGTTAATGAAAGATTTACGAATGTTCAACAACGATTTATGCTTTTCTACGGGTCGTGCGTCTTTGAAAAAAAAAATGAAACAGAAACGAGAAACGTTAAAGCATTTAACGATCGATAGATAGACTCATTCTCGGTCCTTCCCCTCCTTTCTTATCTCTCTCCCACTCGCTTTCGTATACTGGCCAATCCTCCCCTCTCCTTACTTCCCTCTGTCCCACCTTCTCGGTAACCATAGCCGATCGATAGCACGCCAATACGAAACCTCGGGCACGTTTATATTATGTAATTGCGATCGAAATTAATCGCGATTCTGTGTCAAGGCGAGATGCTTTCCTCTTTCGAGCGTACTTAACGTCAAATCCGAGAGTCACCTATGGCGCATGCGCATGCGCACTGTCTGATGCAACTCGAGAGAAGCACAGAGTATGTCGTAAGAGGACAAATTTGTAGTGTAATTTTTTTCACCAGCCTTCTCCGACACTAACGCTCTCCACTGATGTATGCAAGAATTCTGTTTACAATTGTAGACGCTATCAAACGCTTATTCACGACGCATATTGCGTCGACGTAAGACAAATAAATCGGACTGTTTTTCTCTTTGTTGGCATTTATTTGTTTTTCTATTTCCGTCTCGTCCGTTATTCCGTCTGTCTCAGGTAGCCATACCCGCGTTTGAGTCTACTTAATCGCTAGTTGTGCGTCCCGCAAGGATGCGCCGTCGGCGCCGAATTTCACCGAACTCGGCCGAACCCGCACGAAGCTTACTTCTCACGGGAACCGAGTGTCGTGCGGTCGCCGGAAAAGTCGACATGAAAATATCACTGTTTAATCCGAATTTAAATTGGTCTCGTCGGTGGGTTTACCTCTCGCCAACTCTTCCGCCCGTGAAATTATGTAACGTCGATTCTCTCTCTCTCACTCACTCACCGACTATACGGCAAGTATCTAATACGATATGATTCACTGTTTAATCCCGTGAAATGACTCGACTCCTCCGCTCAGCCATTCCTGTGCTCTCGTCTGTTTCTTCATCAGCTCGATTCGCCTTACTCCCCCCACGTCGTCTGTCTGCTCTCTCGTTTACCTGGAAGAAGTTACCGGGAAGAAGGTTCCACGTGCACGTTCCTACGCTAGCGTGATTATCGAGGAACGTTATTGTCGATGACCTATTAGTCGAAACTCCGTATCTCCGTATGATTTGGTAGGTTATAAAATTTGTTTGTCACATAAAAAAATCATTCACGCTATCGTTATCCAATTCGTCGAATTCGCCCTTGTCCGAATATAGCTCGATCCACGTACCCTGCGAGGAAATAACAGGACCACGCGGGTAAGGCTGGCGCGTTGAAAATTATAATGATACGTGTAGCCGATTACGTAATTTGGGTATTTCATGTAGTTATCGACGCTGACAATTATTCGATTTATATCGAAATTTGATTATGGGAATCGATCATATTTTTTTTACCAATAACGTATATACCTACAGTAGGACGAATTCCTGACCCGATAACTATAGAGACCAGACTTCTCGTACCTGTCCCATTCTTGAATGAGAGATACGAAAAGAGGCTCATAATAGACACTCGGTTGTTATATAAAAGACATATGGGAACCGATCGTGAGAACGTTCGGTGTGATAAGATACATTATAGTCACGTGCTCGTATTCTGTCAAACTCTGTTATGTAAACTTTACGACTCATCCGAAGCCCGTCGTGTCGTTCGCCACGAATTCGATTCGCTGCTGGAGTTTTTCATTTATTTTTGGTATCGCGTGTACACATGTACAACTGACGCAGATGATAACACTTATCTACTTTTAGACGAGGATGGAAATATTCACTGACAATTATTTCCATCCCGGAAAACCACAAGCGAAACCGGAATAGGCATTTTCTATTCTATCCCCCCTGCCCCCTCTCCCGTGTCACGAATTTTTTTCGTAATTACCATCAACCCCAAAATTCTATCAATTTTTTTCCAAATCCCACGTTTAACCACATTTACATGGTTTACTCTGTATACATATATACATATGTACACACGATGCTATCAAAGTGCAAAAGTAACTAAAGAACACGTGGCAAAGGTTTACCGACTAAGCGCGAGCGTGTAGCGAACGAAGCCATGTGGTCGTGAAACCCGTGGCGCGTAAACGCGTCCCGGTTCTACACAATCGTACGAATCGTTGCATAACGATAGATTTATATAAATGGTTACGTTGACACTAGGTAGACTAAGTAGCTCGCGTGCCGCGATTCCGAGTCGTTCGTTATCTAATCCGCTCGGAGGTTCCGAGTCAAAGTCGAATTGGAGAAGAAAGAAAAACGAAAAGAAAAAAGAAAAGAAAAAAAAATACTTCGAGCCACGTTGCACCGGTAAGGCGTTATTTCAATTGCGCCTTGGATCGCGTTGTAATATGGTTACTTCGTGTATAACGTATAAGCCGTAGAGGATTGACCGTTGACGAGCAAGCCGAGGGATAGGAGCGTCGTGTCAATTACATAATAAAAAGTGTTATGTAAGACCAAAGCGTACGCGACGCCGTCGTCGCGGTGCATAAACGCCGACTGGTCTACGATGTCTGATCGATTGATGAAATATTGGTAGTCTTGCGTCAGGAGAAAAACGTCCGTCGGAAGGACGTATAACGTTTCGGTGACACGTGGACGAGAACTGCGAGTGTCTAGAGCGTCGACGTAATGTTTGACGGAACGTTGCGATAATATTTTTTCAATGCGTCCTTCGTTTATGCACAATGACAGGATTTAACGAGTCTCGTACTCGTATCTATTTCGACTGTTTGGAGAACGAGTCTTTCTTCACGTAAGATTCTATAGGATTTATATAAATACAGAGAGCCGGAGAATGCTCGGCGTTACATAAAATTAACAGGCGTTGCTCAAAATGGCGACAACGTTACGTCCCCCCCCCCCC